AAGTTTCTCGAGGGTCAAGGTAAGGTCAGTATTCACTGTTTCCCACAACTTCTTGTCACTGGCGCCAGGCCACTTCACATACGGTCTGTGCCCTGGTAGTCTCCTCTCGATTGCAGGTCTCGGAGGCTGGGTGAGTTCCACTCTAGTTGTTGGTTCCACCTCAGTTGTTACTTCGGTGCTTGAGTTTACGTCCTCCATGACAGTGGTACTGATGCACTGCAAACTATGGTTTGCGTCCAGTTGCTGTGCTTCATTCGACTGATTTGATCGCTTTCGCAGAAAGTAATCAATGCGAGGCCTCTGTCTCTCTTTACCCAAACACCCCTTCTTCCCCTGGTGGATCCTCAACCCATGGTGTGATGTAACTTTCCTCCAACCACAGACACATACCTGCATCTGTTTGTGGCCTACTTTTGCAGCGGAACTTGTGACAGTTGCTGTGGTGTTCTCTTGTGCTGTGCTCTCATTACTCGTAGTCGTTTCCGGTCCAGTCGTTACCATGTTGTCAGTCGATGAGTCATGTTACAGAGTAAAATAAAATAGTTTTTAAGATTCGTTTTTGTTTTTATAACCGATGTTATAGGCTGCGGGGCTAGGATGTGGGCAGTAGAGGGCAGTGCAGAAACATCAATTGTTGCCCTGCGCTCCGATGCTCCCAGCCTTCAACAACCCGCAATGGTCAACGAGGTGAAGCAGGTAAAACGAATCCCACGACCTACGCGGGATGGGGAGACCTTCGTCCAGCAGTAGATTGACAAGGTGCGGCATGTGCACATTGCATGTTTTAAGCACGAATGTGGTTATTCAGTTCAGTTCATCAATGTACATTTGCGAAATTCATGTGTGATAGGACTGCACTCGGCGAAGTTCCACGTGAAAGGGATTTAAATACTCACAAGGGTGTGGAGAGGAAATGAGAAAGCGGCTGCATCAATTGAGAAAGATCACCAAAATAAATCACTGCTGCTTTTTTTTAGGTATTTACCAAATCAAGTTAACGTTCTTTAGAACCTTTCAGCTATTCCTCTCATAACCAACATCAACATAGACTCCATTTGGCCTCAGTGCTAGGTATGGTGGGATGAGCTCAGTTATCAGTTTTTGCAGGAACAGTGCTCAATAAGTGTATTGAGTGCAGCTAATGTGGTTACATTGTCTTTGCATATGTCAGAATCAGAATGTTTATTATCTGATGAGCTATGAAGATCTTTTACACAGATGTCCAATAGGGGTGGATCAGAAAATCACAACAATCAATAAAAAAACGATAGGAGTGCAAAGTATAAGAAAGGTAAGCAAACCACTACACGTAATTAAACTAAAACACACTTTTTTTATCTAACCAGGTAGAGCCCACTGAGCTATTAGTTATTTTTCAGAAGCGACCTGCCCACAAATGACAGCTCGAAGACATGTCCCGTCGTGTGGAAATTTCTATCAGCCAAATACTCTAAACGTACAGGATGCTTAAAAAAATTGTTAACACATATATGGGACTATCGTTTTGAATGTAAAAAGAACAGATTGTACATTGTAACATGATAACAAATGCGATGTTAATAGCTTCAAAAAGTCAAATAGTCTCCACTCGTTCGCCATCGTTGTCAAGGCTACACCTGGAATCTTCTCCAGGTGGTCTCCAGAGCCCGGAGGCGGCACATTTCTTGTGGCGTTGTTGTAAATTCTCAGAAGTGTTAAAGAAATGTTGAAGCACCCTGTACACTAGCCTAAGTGCCGAGTCCATCTGCTGGGTCCCTCTGTAACGTGCTGTGTTGTAAGCAAATGTAATTTGCATCACTTGCCAATACTACACTGAGCTCATTGATTAAGGATATCGCCAGGCATCTTACCTGCCCCACCCCCCATTGGCTTCTGTATTAATCAGCATTTAGCACTGGGCCAGAATGGCATCAGAAATAAGTGGCTTATTTAAGAACGTTGGCCATAGTCTTAAAAAAAAATCTAACTTATATTTTTAACAGGTATTAAAAAGATGTCGGAAGGCGAGTCCGCATTCAAACATTCAAAATTGGACCTTTATGTTATTTCAATCGTATTAAGTCACTTTGTGCTTTCACATTGCGTGATTTCAAATACCAAAGTCGGTATTACTTGACTGGCAGGAATAACCACCAGCCCAGGAACCATGATGTATAATCTTACATTAAAAGAGTAACCTTCATTGTGACAAGCAACGCAGTGTTGGCACCACGCGAGGCCCTATTGTTTTGCACTTTGCGTCCAAAAATCAATGGACCTTGAACAATGGCATGAAGGAGCTCCCACATGTGAAATTTATTTTGCTTCAGTGGAAGCTGAAAACAAACCCCGATTGCAAACACGGACGACACCCCCCCAGCACAAACTGAACATAATGACCGTTCGCGAATTTTCTGTAAAAACAAAGTGACCTTGTTTTAATAAGGAACAAACCATACGTAAATTCAAGTAAAAGGTATATTTTAGCAAGTGATTCTCAATGCTCATCTCTGTTGGCTGTGCTAAGGCAGTGGGAAAAGTTCCACATTCCTGTGATGAGAGACAGACTTTGCATCGGACAACAACTTCTAACACAGTGGTACAATTTTTTTTCCTAATCAGCCTCTAAGAGATAATAAGCTAAGTTGATTCCCAAAAAAGTTCAAGCAAGATGTTATGCATTTCATTATCTTTGTTATACAAGCAAAGGCAGGAACAAAAGCTTCACTGCTGTATTTAAAAATAAAAGCAGGCTCTGATGTGCCTCAATATTTGTCAAAGACAAGGCGCTGATATTAATGCATGGGAGAAATAAAGGAACACAAGCACATGCATTCCAACACAATCCCTTCGGGTCCTACAAGGTGCTTTAGGCAATGCATTACGGATGAACTGTGAGATATTTTTTTTAGCTTTCCCGCATATTGTTTGATTCACACCCACTCTTGCCCATTCTTGCTTTGCCTTTGAGTATAATGACAAATATGTAGACACAAGTTGACTGGGATGGCCCAGGGAGCTCATAATATCTATGTTACAGCCCTAGGATTGCACAGCTGAGATTGCCACCCATGAATCAACCAGCTTCTCAAGTGTAGCGAGATCATGCTCTTAGTCTACTCATCAGTGGGAGAGAGATGCCGAGGTAAGAGGTTACAGTAGAACCTCTGGTCACGAACGCTTCTGACCACGACCAAATCGGGTTACAACCAAAAAATTCACAAAAAATTGTAATCTGGTCACGAACACAAACTCGGGTGGCGATCAAACACGGCCGCGGCCGATTTCCCCTTCCGCGCCATTTTTTTTTGTGAGCGCCAAATTTCCTGTTGTTTGTTTACAAACAACAGCGACCCACGTGTGGCCGCTTGCTCAGTCAGTCTCGCTTAGTAATCTGGTCTCGGTCAGACGTGCGCTCATTCGCTGTGAACTCTGTGCAGTATTTTGTGTATTTTTGCATTAATTTTGCAATTAGCCATGGCCTCTAATCAAGTGAAGAGTGGTAATGTGAATCTCTTCTCGCATCATTCATACGATGATGCGGTGAAGTAAACGTTCATACGATATTACGGTGAATGCTTCCAAAAACAATACTGTACCCAAATATTCCTGTTAACTTACTTTCAATAGAAACATGAATTGCTCATACGAATATTCTCTCTCTCTCTCAAAATCGACCGACTGATGTAGCAGACGAAACAATCATCTTGTTGAAGGATTTTAAACCTTGACGCGGCAATGTTAGTTTTCTCTGTTGTTCAAGGTTTTCTCAGTGTTATTCAATGTTTTTACATTTAGTTTCCTATTAAACTGTGAATTCTATGGCATAATTAACTATTTTTGTTCTTAAAAATCTTTAAAAAACAATATTTATATACAGTTCGTAGGAGTCTGGAACGGATTAATCGTATTTACATACAATCCAATGTGGAAATTAGGTTCGAGTCACGACCAAATCAGGTTGCGACCAAAGCTATGGAACGAATTATGGTCGAGACCAGAGGTTCTACTGTATATAGGTAAGAGAGGGGGGGAGGGGCAAGGGAGGGGGTTAGGGGGATGGGAGCGTTGCGTGGACGCGAGGAGAGGGAAAGAGTACATTAAATTTGGTTTTCAATTCTGCATATTACAGCTCTCATGATTATACAATGTAGATGTTAATACTTGTAGGAACAACAGTTCCACACTGCCCACCAGGGATTATTTGTCTGTCGTGCATAGCCCCTCCCAAACAAGTAGCACGCTCCCGGATTGGTTGAAGTGCGTCACGTGACCGCGAGCTTTCTGTCGTGCACAAATGCGCTGTCCAATCAAGTTCCTACCTGCCCACTCCGAAGGAACGTGTTTACACGAGATACAATGTTTACAGGGCATAAAATGTGTGCCAGCTAAAGAAGTGTTCAAATGCGTTCACAAAAGATGTAATCTTCCACAGCTGAGTTCTGCGTCACAAATCAAAGCAATAATCATGGCAGAGGGTCCCAAAAATAGGTTTATTTGTCTCATGGAATGATGCTGATAGTACGATTGTAACATAATAGAGGATTTCTTATAATATCTTATGAATATCTCTCCTCCAAATTTTATCATAACATTGGCATACTGCACAGCAGTGTAGCCCTTCATGTGAAGAGAACAGCCCACAAAAGTGGATATCACAGAGCTACTTTTGAAAACTCTTTAAGGACCTCTGGTCCACATAATTGGGAGTAGCACTTACCCACCCGTTCTGCAACTGACATGTTGCTTTTTTGGGGCCAATCATTAGTGACCAGGCTGAAACCATCACGTCAGTACACCCGAGACACCGGTTGTATCACAGGTGGCTGACTGGATTCAAATTGAGGATCTCAGCGGTGCCAGCTCAACACTCCGACCTCTGAGCCACCAGGCCCTCCTCGCATTTTTAGAGTATTTTAAACACGGAACACCGGGAACAGTTACTGCCCCCAATGAAGAGGAAAAAATGCTTTGTTAATATCGAAACAGCTGACAGCCGTGCATCCAAGTACAGGACTCACCATGTTTGGCTCTGTAGGCGGCTCCCAGGCAAGCCGAGTTGGCGGTGTCCAACGTGTACACCGGCACGTTGAACACGTCTGCCAGGACCTTGTGAAACCGACCACGGAAAGAGAAGGGCTCAAAACACAATGGTTTACTTTGGCTGTGTGGCTTTCTGCCGGCCCCAATAAATCACACGACATTTCAGAAATGCCACGTGCGCTCCTACGGGAACCAGAAACATTCTGACGCAGCATCCTCTTACCGTCCTTGAGGACGCGGGCTAATATTCTACGTGACCGTATAGGAATTTTAAAATAGGACATGCTGCTGAGTTTCTTGGCAAGCTGGGACTCGCAGTCGTTTACATCCCTTGAGTGAGTGGACTCCCCCGGCACCCTGGTCCTGAGTTGTAGGAAAAACCACACAGCCCGAGCAGCTGTTTGAATCGTTTCGAGCACTGTGACGTGATTGTAAAATTAAATGGTAATCGCTCATGTGCCAATTCATTAGTTGATGCGTTGCAAGTGACTATGAGTAGAAATCAATTGGACATTTAAAAATAGGTTAAGGTAAAGTTCCCCCCCCCCCCACTTCATTTACAGAACGAAATATAGCGTGCGTAAAAATGTATCATTGTTAATCGCACTGCCAACAGAGCCAATGACGAAGTATTGCTATACGAGAATACAGCTGGGTATACAATCATACAGTGATCTTGTGTTTGCAGATTTAACGTCTCCTTTCAGGATTATTACACAATTAGTGTATTTTTTTATAATTTGTAGAATTATTGTTGTTTTTTTCCCACAATATATAACTGCACCGTTCTGGTTGGTCTTCATTGTTATATTTTTAAGAATGTTTTGGTTTCAGCGATTAACACTTTTTGCTGGTGGAGCTGCCCCTATGGTTTGAGCTCTCGTCCCACTCGTTACATTAAGCCATGGTTATTGTTATGCAAAGTTACTGTTAACTGGGTCAGACTATTCACTCTAAATCATTATAACATGAACTATGAGTGGTGGCGATAGCTGCGTTCTATAATTCCCCAGAACTTCCCTGCTCTCCCCAACCTCCCACTCTCCCCCAGTCAAACTCATAACTAAACTAAAACTAAACTATTTTTTATTTTACCAGGTATGGCCCACTTGAGCTATATAGTTCTTTTTCAGAAGCGACCTGGCCACAAATAATAGCCTAACCAAGAGGCTTATCATGTGGTAATGTATCGCAGCCAAATACTCTAAACGCACGTTGATTCTAAATGTGGAGGGAGAAATCTGGAGGAGCCGGATAAAAATCCACATGACCACGGGGAGAACATGCAAAATCCAAATATACAGGAGGAAACATTCACAGATTATACAATGTGTAGCATCACTTAAAAACAAATGCATTGTTTTCATTTTTAAATGCTAGCAAAGTTTAAAACAGCAGCAACAAGGGTTTAAATCTCGATGCACTATCATGTAGAGCCACCATTCCATGTGTGTGTGGACATGTGCATACACACATAAATAGCTATGTGTATGTGCATTCCGTGTTAAACATGAAAATGTATCGTGAGAAGGCAGGCATAGTGGGCAGGAGGTGTATGACTAAACTGAAATAGAGGGCTTTGTTTGATTAACACTTAACAAGTCCATCAATTTTTCTCAAGTAAAAATGAGCCATTTAACCCAGTTAGGGAAGCAGCCACCAGCTGGTATATAATGCGGCACTCTCTTCTCTTCTTAGCCAGAGTGACACCGCATATGGACACGTCATCGCGATTATGGTCATCACGTGTGACATGCGATGATCGGCTTTGGCACGTCCCCAAGACGAGCATACCGGAGGATCTCGAAAAAAAACATCTGTCGGCAAAAGCCACTGATTGATCAACCAATTAAATTTCAAATGGTGAATATTAGCATTGAAGAGATGATCGATATTCACACTCATTCTGTATTAAGCCTTGCCGACGTATATTTTATCCGAATACAGATGTCGCAAGCTATAGAATGAGGTGAGTTGAATATCGGCCAGGTGTAGTGCCTTGTACTCAGGTGCACTGAATGCAGGTGTGGATTACTTGGAGAATGTCCTTATTGGAGGAGGCTCCTCCAGTTGCCAGTATGCGCGTCTCTGGTTCTGCCACGCACACACAGCACAAGGACGCCTTAAGTACGGACATCCCTCGACATATGGAACAGATACATTCGTGAAAGGTTGTCTGTAAAGCGAAAGTCCGTATATCAAGCTTCATTTTTGCCATTCGCTTCGATTGCATAATTGGAGAAAGCAACTAGACTTGGTAGTCGTAGTAATGATATCACAATTAAGAATGGCAGCAAAACGTTTGCACAGAATGCCGCGCTCGTGCACGTGATTTGCTCCAGACCTCTCTCCCCTCTCTTCTGTAGATTTATTTTACGAACAAAAAAAACTCTTTGAAGCCCATGAGAATCATGATGGCAAGTGACTTGGCTTTAACTGAACAATACACGTAGTGATTTTTAAAAAAGTGTTATTAATCAGCAAATATGAAATTGTTAATATTTAGTTATTTATAAACGGAGTATATGTGTGTAAATGTAATATTAGGTTAATAATAAAGCATTATTTAATTATTTAAAAAATATCGGAATTCCCCTAAAACCGGACAGGCTATTCCGTGAATTGGTCCTGGCTTGCAGAGGTTTTACTGTATGTACCCATCCACCCGTCCATCCATTCATCAATTTGTCCATCCGTCCATAATGTATTCATCCAAACACCTGCACATCTGTACATCCATCACATGTACATTCTGCCCAGCCATCAATCCCCTCACTCCTATCTCTTTGTCCTCCCATACTAAACATCTCGTGCATTCATTTAATCTTTCTGCCCATGACAGCTTGGCCTGGTGCCACCAACGCACACGCTGGGAGCCAGAAGCTGTCCCCGGGGTTGTGCTCACACAGCTGGGGAACAACACAAGCGATACGGCACAGAGAAGAACCGCGTGGCTGTGCCATATGGCGAGGGTGCTGCTGGGAGGGTGACTCAAGAAATATTTAGCCTCTGATTATGGTTCACCCGAGGTGTTAGATGTAATGCAAGTTCTAATATCGGTATATTAAAAGTGACATGATCTGATTGCTCGATTATTTTCATGATTGCTTCCTCAAATTAATATATATGACATTGGTTTAGCTTCAGTATTCGCAGCACTACACTCTTACTGTAGGCTTTGTGGTATAGTGTGTATGAATGTGATGCTATCTTTGCATTAAGCCAAACTGACATGATCCTTTTCTACTTTTAATTACGTTAGAATTTTTTTTTACTTTTTAAAAATCAAAGTATTCATAAAACAAGTAATCATCTGATCTCTGCTAAGTAATGACAATCTTATTACATGCTGAAGATTGAGTATCAGTAATGGTAATATAAAGGATACACATTACATTTTCCCAGCACTAGTATTGCCCTGTCATTGAAATACACATTAATCTGGACTTACAATTTTCACATTTAAATAACATTTAAAAAATAAGGCAAATGGCAAATTACTGTTAGATGCTTTGTAAATTCAGATTATATTGCATTTACAATATTTGCTGTTAGATTTTTCCACCAGCCATGCCATTAAGTTATAAAACATCCACCTTGGGAGTCTTTCAATCAGTATAGCATCACACATATTGTTAAGGAAAAGACCAGGAAGATGACATTACGGAAGTACTCATGAAATCAATTCAATAGACCTTCTTTATCCAATACTAGACGTTTCTTCTTCATGCTCTGTAAAAAGTGGGTCTCCACATGTCAATCAACCAATGGAGTAAGCAGATTTATTTAGATCTACACAGCTGAGCAAAAGCAAAATTAAGAAAGAAAAAAACCACATTCGTTTCTAAAAAGAAACAAATAGCCAATTGAGACTGGGAAGAAAGCATCATCATCATAATCTAAACCCAGGATATCAGTGGTGCTGGCTCAGTGCTTTGAGATAAGCATTGAGAACTGCATGGGCCACCTGGTCAACTCAAGTAAATGTTTATCACATTCCTGCGGAGGGAGCTGGGAGGAACGTTGGGTTGCTCGGTCAATGGCCAGGGTCAATGGCCAGGGTCAACGGCGGCGTGGTGTATTCCGCAAATATGGCCAACTGTGAGGGCGGGCACAAGCCGGCGTGAGTAGGTTCAACGTTGAGTTTTATAAGGGCACCAAGGGGTGACCAGCCCCTCCCCACCCAGCCCCACCCCTCCCACCCCCCACCCAGCCCCACCCTTCCCACCCAGCCCCTCCCCACCCTCTCCACCCAGCCCCTCCTCACCCTCCCCTCTCCATCCATTTCAACCCTCCAATTTTTGGATACACGAGGGATGGACAGAATAATCCCCTGTGGGCTGGTGTAACCAGGAGGTTCCTACCAGTATGAAACCAGCTCCATGCATTCTTTTCCCCATAGCTCTCCATTTATTGATTTTAAATGAGAATCTCCTTGTTTCCTGAGTTCTCTCCTGGTTAAAAAAAACTAAACTTGATTGATCAAATACAGTGGTATATCATAGTAAATGAAATTTAGATCCCTGACAATGAGCTTCTGGCAAACAAAAATTCTAAGGAAAGTACACAATCACATAAAACTGAAAAACTGCAATGTTGCTCGTGATCAAAGTCATTTAATGTCACTGCTTGAAGCAGTTCCATCAAACATCTCCAGTAACTACTAGCAAACCAGGAGAGCTTAACCAAATTGTAATTGGTCATACAGATACAAGCAGCGTGACATTATTTGGTATCTATTAAGCAGGTACGTACACGTTTATGTGAACTACAGACACACATGGAAAGCAGCAAATGAGCTGGGATGTCAATTTTGCATATGCATCAGCTACTCCTGGGCTAAGTTTGAAACCAACGGGTCAATGTACAAGCATATTGGAGTGTACTCTGGCTTCTAATTAAAGCTCACAAGTCACACTCTGTTCCCACATTCCCAGGCCTGCACTTTTAGGACAGCGATCTTGGCTGTCTTTAGTTTTCTACTGGGAACATTGTCTCCCTCTTAATAATTCGGCCCTTCCATTGGTTTCAAACACAAGTCACCTGAGCACTGCAGTACTCCGCAAATGCAAAGCAATGCAAACTCACCGGTCTGAGCAAATGGGCCGGGCCCATCCTTGCCAGCTGCCATTGTTAGGTGACAAGGAGAGGAGCAATTAACACAAGAAGCCAATCACTGGCAAGATCTCTGCAAATGTCTGGCTCTGAGTCAACAATGATTACCCAGATTTACAGTGAACTGCAACGTTCTAAATGATTGTAGATAAAGTAAATCGTAATCATATTCTTAGGTGTTTTCGGTAAAGTCACGTAGGTAAAACATTAAAATTAATGAAAGTAAAATAAAATAAAATCACGACGTATTTTATTTTACTTTAATTAATTTTAACGTTTTACCTACGTGACTTTACCAAAAACACCTAAGAATATGAATCCTTGCAGTTACGAAAGCTTCAAATCTAGAATTAAATCGCAATCATTAATAGCTAATTAAAGCCACATTTTTAGTGATGGCATTTCTTTATCTATCCACGTTTAAATTTGGCAATCATAAAGACATGTTGATGAGAATTCTTCAAAGGTCATAAGTTAACTGACTATAACAACTGGAAAAAGCTACAGTTGTTTGGAACTATATGAATTTTTATGAAAAATTCCAGGAAGACTCAAAACTTTACATTTTAAGAGCGCCAATGAATAAACACAATGCTCAATTGTCAGTCAAATGAAGCAGACACAACACAAAATCATAATTTTCAAGTTCAGATAGCCAATAAAATGAGTAAAAAAACCTCTCCACTCAACAAGCACAAAATATAATCGTACAAACACGTTCATTATAGAGTGTATGTAAAAACAATCTGGATTTATAATCCAACTATTAACTACTATCTTTGTTTTACTTGGTAAGACCCACTGAGATATACGTCTACTTTTCAGAAGCGACCTGACCATAAATGATAGCTCAACGAAGTGTCTTATCATGTGGACATTTACAGCAGCCCAATACTCTTAAACGCATGATTCTAAATGTGGAGGGAAAAACCGGAGGAAAAATCCACAGACCATGGGCAGAACATGCAAACTCCAACGATACAAATTCATATTCTTAGGTTTTTTCGGTTAAGTCACGTAAGTAAAACATCAAAATAAAAATAAAATAAAAATAAAAATCACGACGTTTCGGAGGCAACACAAGTCTCCGTCATCAGGTGGGACCGTCACAGCCGAATTAGCTGCATCAAGTGAAGCAATGATTCAAGATGTAATCCCTTATAAGCAAGTTGAAGGGAGGTGGAGAGGGGGGGGTTGGAGAGCTTATCAGACTGTGGTAGCCAATGAATTGAAACGTATCGGGGGGGAGGAGGAGCGGTGATCAAAGACTGCACGCAGTGCTCAACACAATGAATGGAAACGTATCGGGAGGGAGGAGGAGCGGCGATCAAAGACTCCAACGATACAAGCATCAGGGTCAGCATCGAACCCACGACCTGCTGCATAGCAAGCGAGGTAATTAACATTTTGTCATTATGGTGCCCCAAGTTATTCCTAACACACATCTAAGCACGAGGGTATCTTGCAAGTGACAGAGTGGGCAGAGCCGTATTTGAATGTCCTTGATTTAAGGGGATGGGAGTCCACGAGATCCATATTCTCTTTTCGTGAGACCCGAGTGTGATATTACCGTTTAGCCTGCAGCCAAATCACCCAGAATGCAACCGATATTCTCAGATTGCACGAGCTAAGGAGGGTTCAAGCCTTGATTAATACTGTACTTCAGTCAATGGTACTTAACCGGCGCAGGCTGAAGCATGGATACCGTGCAGGAGAAATTACCTTTAAAATGACCAGCAGCCTGCTCTAGGATTATAGTGTAAAAAACGACACTGCATCCTATACTCAATCAAGATTGAGCCACATATGGGGTTCATCAGAGAGTCATCCTAACATCTTTTCATCCAGTGCCGATATTGTATGTAATATAATTTCTATATTTTGTATAATGGTCACAGCAGCCAATGGCAGAGCCAGTGGGGGGGGGGGGGGGGGGCACATGCCCCCCTATGGTCCGATCGAAATCCCTAATTTAGATCGGATCATTGGGGGTTATCTATATACATAAAAGGAAAATGTGTGAATGTGTCTGTTCAAAATGTTTAGCATACTTCCCAACATGCAATAAACTTGAAATTTGGCATGTGGGTAGTTTTCAGACTCTACACAATGCAAAACGTATAAAAATAGACTTTTGTATTTTTGGGGGGGGGGGGGGGGGGCGCAATAATGCATATATTTTGCACGGTAAATGAGCGGTGACGTCCCATCTGTGATGTCACCCGCATGCAGGAACGTTACACAGTGTGCCTGCTGACGTCACGCACCCCCCAACCCTCCGCGTCGGCCGTGTATTAATCCAAGACAAGAATCCAAGTCCCGGGGGAAGCCAGTTAGTAAAGCTAGTTAGTAATAAATCGTCATTATGCGACCCCCACTGCCACTGTGTAGCATATTATTATGTGCCAGGGACTCTATGAGATGACAGGACAATAGTCTGAGTCCATAATTGGCAATAAGTAATGGCAAAGCAGTTATAAGTGACACAGAATTGTGCGCAGTTGCGTATACGGCACACGACTTCCCTGAAGGCATTCACCTTCAGTGAGCGCGATGCCGATCACACAACGCGGTTCGAATTCGACCCTCGATCGATGGCTGCGACATCGCCGCACACGCGTCGAATAAAAAACAAGGGACAAGTCCTTACTTACTAACAACTCCTCTATCATTTTTCAATGCTGGAGGGGTTGCCCCCCCTTACCTGAAAATCATAGCTCCGCCATTGACAGTAGCTCCCATTGTTTTAAGTTTTATCCAATTATGGTGAGCTGGTGGGCCATTGTACCAAAATTCCTCCGGGAATTTTTTTTGCACAAATGTGCCTCCTTTCAAAAGTGAACAGCTACTTACCACAAATTCTTTGGCATTTTGTTTTAAGTTACCCTCATGGACATTAAGGGATGTTTAATATTGAATGATAAGTAAAGTGCAATTGGGCAGGACACGTCATGCCTAGATGGGATGATGGCATGTGGGAGTGAAAGGATGGAGTGGTCCAGAGAGAGAGATCGTCCACTGCAGTTTGATGGATATGTCCAAGCAGCTCATGCACGCCAATAGAGATTAGTCAGTGCAATGAGAACCACTGCTGTATTTTAATGGGAGACTGCCAGGAAATACTGGACATCATTGGCTTGGTCTGCGATGCGGTCTGGCCATGTCGGTATCAGAATAGAGATCCTTGAATGTATCTGTGCGGTGCTTGGAGTGCTCTCCCTCTCATGTTCGGGGTTTCCCTGGGTACTCTGGTATCCTCTCCGTTGTGTTTTTGTTTGTCTTCTGCTGTTGCTACTTTCATTGGAACAAAACGCGAGCCCGACACAGCACGCCGCACGGTTCGCGTGACCGGGTGTCGCAATCCACGGAAGATGCTCCCCCACGCATCTGGAACCATGTGGGGGGGGGGGGGGGTGAAAGATGGGGAGAGGAGGCCCACTGACCCAGCCAAGTGGGGACACCACGTCGGGGGGAGAAGATGCACGGGGAAATATAACCGACCAAATGAGGGAAACCTCGGGTAGAGGGGGAGTGGTAGGGGGAAAGGTGGAGGGGTGGAGGAAAAAGGGGGGTGGGGGGGGGATCCTCGCACACGTTAAACACTCATTCAAAACATTTCAATGCAGAACCTTCGGGAAATAGTCCTGAGTCCCAGTGAGGCATTCCTGGGTAAGGGGCATTATGATTCTCAAAGAAAAATAACATTCATTGACCAAAAACATATTCTACAACAGAGACACATGACTTGAACTAAATATAAAGCATATTAAAATGGGGGTTAAAACGTTGTTGGTTGCAGTTATAGGTATTACGCAGGTATTGTTAGTTGCTGAAGTTTACATTCTGACTCTGGGAAAGCATGCCTTAGTATAAAAGTTGTCTCTGGCTGTGCTCATTGCCATGGGTTTCTCCTCTGGTCGGTGCACTGCGGGTAGAGTACTCAGACAATATCAGGTGGTTGTGAGTTTAAAACCCAATTGAGGGTCCACTCAGCACACCATCTCTCAGTGGTCAACACATGAAGCACCACTTTGCGGAATGTCAACGTTGGTCATACTGTGGTGAAACTGTTCCACGTTATGAGAGAAATGTGGATTTTACCTACTCGTCTAGAATTATTTGACTCGGGATATGTTTGACTTGGATTTGACCTCTCTCCACTCCAGGCTGAAGGAGCATGTACCCTGGTGCATGCCCCTTATTAGTGACCACTCCCGCCAATACTCTATCTATCCTGGAAAACTCCGTGACTCACGGCTCCGTCGAGCCAGACTTTTGTCTCGACACGGTCTGCCGAGAACCAAGCCGTGTTGTCCGCAAAGGCTAAGGTGTGATGCGTTGGCGATAATTAGCGGCGCTAATGGCGGAGGCCTTCAGGTTTCCATGGCCGACATTAACCACCAAGCTGCCGTCAAAATCCACCGGATTAGCAGAAACATAAAAGCCCCCCAAATGCATTAACACTCCGTTTATCATTGTCTGCCGTGAGCGTCATGCTATTCCCATAGACGGGCGATTCTGTCATCTTCCAGCTCACACACGTGCTATTTACTTTATTAATTGCCCGATAAATGGGGAAATAGTAGTGAGGAGCCTAACGCTGTTGTGATAAAGCACTTTGATGGACTGCTTCTGGCTCAATGTCTCCACACTTGGGGGCCTAAAGGCGAGAGACCTATGGGGGAACAACCTGTAGGTTTAATGAATGATGAAATATCTCAACCTTGTGAAAACAAAAAATAAACACGACAAATAATGATCTCTGTATTCAGCCGGCATAGGAAACAAGACATTTATTACAACACGTGCTTTTAATAGGGCAAAACAAACATGAAACAAAAATCCTCCACAACTAAAAATTCCCCTTCAGATAAATCTCTGTATGCAAGCAATAATAATAGAATAATTTACAGCCCTTTGTCCATTCACTGCTGGATGAAGGCCTCTTCACATCCTAATGAATTGATTGACAGAATTTCACCATTCGGGCAGTGCAGGCTGATGATGTA